CTGGTGCAACACAGTGAGATCCTGTCTCAAAAGGAAAAAAGGGCAGGGTGCAGTGGTTCCTGCCTGTAATCCAAGCACTTTGGGAGGCCAAGGTGGGCAGATCACCTGAGGTCTGGAGTTCAAGGCCAGCTTGGCCAACATGGTGAAAACCCAGTTATACCAAAAATACAAAAAATTAGCCAGGCGTGATGGCACATGCCTATAGTCCCAGCTACTCTGGAAGCTCAAGTAGGAGGATTGCTTGAGCCCAGGAGGCAGAGGTTGCAGTGAGCCAAGATTGCGTCACTCTTGCCCAGTCTGGGTGATTGAGTGAGACCTTGTCTCGAAAGAAGGAAAAAACACCTGGTTTGGGCATGGTGGCTCATGCCTAGCATCCCAGCAGTTTAGGAGGCTGAGGTGAGGGGATCACGAGGTCAAGAGATCGAGACCATCTTTGCCAACATGGTGAAACCCCGTCTCTACTAAAAATATAAAAATTAGCTGGGCATGGCGACATGCACCTGTAATCCCAGCTACTCGGGAGGCTGAGGCAGAAGAGTCACTTGAACCCGGGAGGTGGAAGTTGCAGAGAGCTGAAATCGCACCACAGCACTCCAGCCTTGCGACAGAGCAAGACTCTGCATTTAAAAAAAAAAAAAAAAAAGCCAGGCATGGTGGCACATGCCTGTAATCCCAGCTACTGGGAGGCTGAGGCACAAGAATTGCTTGAACCCGGAGGCTGAGGTTGCAGCAAGCTGAGATTGCACCATTGCACTCCAATCTGGGCAACAGAGAGAAACTATCTCAAGAAAAAAAAAAGGCCATAAATAGAAGGAAACCTCCCTAATAATGGGAGAATTAAAATAAGAACAAGTAGGCAGCAGGGGTCACTAGACAGTTTGGCCAAAACATAAAACCCAGGGGAGGCCGGGCACAGTGGCTCACACCTATAATCCCAGCACTTTGGGAGGCTGAGGCGGGCGGATCACCTGAGGTCAGGAGTTCGAGACCAGCCTGGTCAACATGGAGACACCCTGTCTCTACTAAAAATACGAAAAAATTAGCTGGATGTTGTGGCAGTCACCTGTAATCCCAGCTACTCAGGAGGCTGAGGCTGGAGAATTGCTTAAACCTGGGAGTTGGAGGTTGCAGTGAGCCGAGATCGCGCCACTGCCCTTTAGCCTGGGTGACAGACTGGGACTTCTAAAAAACAAAAAAAACCCCTGGGGAGTCCCCAGAAGTCCATCCTTACCCTGGCAATGGAGAAAAGACCATAACCTGAGTCCCAGCTGATGGAGCACTGGGCAGGGCTGGCTTTGCAGTGCTTATCAACTCGCCTAGACTGGGCCCTTTCTCCCAGGACTCCCATCCCTGTAAGTTTCGGCTGTGGAGGTGTGGAGGTGGGAGTGGGAGGTGGCTGACTGATCTCGGCATGGCTGGCAGGCACTGGACAGGAGGTGGCAGGCACAGGCATGGCTCCTCTGTTCCACCTGCCCTTCCTGATCACCCACCCTGTGCCCATTAAGACCCCGTGAAGGGCCAGGCACAGGGTCTCACACCTGTAATCCCAGCACTTTGGGAGGCTGAGGCAGGTGGATCACCTGCAGTCAGGAGTTTGGGACCAGCTTGGCCAACGTGGTCAAACCTAAATACAAAAAGGAGCTGGTCACGGTGGCGGGCACCTGTAACCCCAGCTACTCAGGAGGCTGAGGCAGGAGAATCACTTGAGCCCAGGAGGTGGAGGTTGCAGTGAGCCAAGATCACGCCACTGCACTCCAGCCTGGGCAACAAGAGTGAATCTACATCTAAAAAAAAAAAAAGACCCCAGAAGATGGTCAGAGACTGGTTCCCACTCAGAGTCCCCATAACTACTCCTTTGTAGAGATCTACATGCTGGCCAGTGGCCGCACAAATCTTAAATCCTATTACGAGCTCCATGCTTCTGTCTTCCTCAAATGTCTGTTTTGAAACCCTAGCTCCCAATGGGATGCTATTAGGAGCTGGGCCTTTGGAAGTTGATTAGGGTTGGACGAGGTCATGAGGGTGGGGCCCTTGTGATGGGATTAGAGCCCTTGTAGGGAGGGACACAGCAGTGCTTGTCTCTTTCCCCCTTCTCTCCATCATGTAAAGACACAGCAAGAAGGCGGCTGCCTGCAAGCCAGGAAGAGAGCCCTCACCTGAACCCAAGTCGGCCAGTAGCTTCATCTTGGACTTCCCAGCCTCCAGAACCATGAGAAAGAAATGTCAGGGCTGGATGCAGTGGCTCATACTTGTCATCTAGCATTTTGAGAGGTTAAGGTGGGAGGATTGCTTAAGCCTAGGAGTTCAAGACCAGCCTGGGCAACATAGCAAGACCCTGTCTACAAAAAATCAAAAAGTTGCTGGGTGCAGTGGCTCATGCCTGTAATCCCAGCACTTTGGGAGTCCGAGGCGAGTGGATCACCTGAGGTCAGGAGTTCAAGACCAGCCTGGCCAACATGGTAAAACCCCATCTCTACTAAAAATAACAAAATTAGTTGAAGATGGTGGTGTACACCTGTACAATACTTGGGAGGCTGAGACAGCTACTTGGGAGGTCAGGCAGGGGAATTGCTTGAACCTGGGAGGCAGAGGTTGCAGTGAGCCAAGATCATGCCACTGCATTCCAGCCTAGGTGACAAGATCAAGACTCTGTCTCAAAATAAAAAAGCTAGCCCAGCATGGCAGTACACACTTGTCACAGCTACATTAGAGGCTGAGGAAGGAGGACCACTTGAGCCCAGGGGGTTGAGGCTGCAGTGAGCTGTGTTTGCACCACTGCACTCCAGCCCTGGTGACAGACTGAGACAGTATCTCAAAAAAGAAAAAAAATGTCCGTTATTTAAGTCACTCAGTCTGCGGTATTTTTCTTTTCTTTTCTTTTCGAGATGGACTCTTGCTCTGTGGCCCAGGCTGGAGTGCAGTGGTGCGATCTCAGCTCACTGCAACCTCCGGCTCCCAGGATCGAGTCATTCGCCTGCCTCAGTCTTCCGAGTAGCTGGGATTACAGGCATATGTCACTGCACCCAGCACATTTTTGTATTTTTAGTAGAGACGGGAGTTTCACCATGTTGGCCTGGCTGGTCTCGAACTCCTGACCTCAAGTGATCCACCTGTCTCAGCCTCCCAAAGTGTTGGAATTACGGGCGTGAGCCATCGCGCCTGGCCAGTCTGTGGTATTTTATTATGACAGCCTGAGCTGACAGAGATACTGATGACACCACCAGAGGAAGAAGTCCACAGAATCTCACAGAGCCACAGAAGTGATTCTGGCCACCGTTGCCAGAGAGCGAGCAGTTTTGCCGACCCGCTTAGGATGTGTGATGGATGCCATGTTAGTTTCCTGCGGCTGCCATAATGAGTACCACAAACCAGGCTCCTTCAAACAGGAATTTCTTCCCTCACTGCCCTGGGGGTCCAAAGCTCAAAAATCAAGCCAGCAGAGCCATGCTTCCCACAGGAGCTTAGGGGAGGAGGCTTCCCTTCTTCTAGCAGTGGCTGGTGGCTCCTGGCATTCCCTGGCTTGTGGCCACATCACTCCCATTTCTGGCCCTGTTTTTTTTTTTTTTTTTTTTTTTGAGACAGGATCTTACTCTGTCACCCAGGCTGGAGTGCAGTGGTTTGATCTTGACTTACTGCAACTTCCACCTCCCAGGCTCAAGTGATCTTCCCACCTCAGCTTCCAGAGTGGCTGGGACTACAGGTGTGTGCCACCACGCCCAGCTAATTTTTTTTTTTTGAGATGGAGTTTCGCTCGTTACCCAGGCTGGAGTGCAATGGCGCGATCTCGGCTCACCGCAACCTCCGCCTCCTGGGTTCAGGCAATTCTCCTGCCTCAGCCTCCTGAGTAGCTGGGATTACAGGCACGTGCCACCATGCCCAGCTAATTTGTTCTATCTTTAGTAGAGATGGGGTTTCACCATGTTGACCAGGATAGTCTCTATGTCTTGACCTCGTGATCCACCTGCCTTGGCCTCCCAAAGTGCTGGGATTACAGGCGTGAGCCACCGCGCCCAGCCACCCTGTCTCTTAGAGGAACCCATGTCACTGGATGCAGAGCCTATCTGGACAATCCAGGGTGATCTCTCGAGCTCCTTCATTTTAATTGTATCTGCAAAGGCTGGATGCAATGGCTCATGCCTATATTCTCAGCACTGTGGGAGGCTGAGGTGGGTGGATTGCTTGAGGTCAGGAGTTCAAGACCAGCCTGGCCAACATGGTGAAACCTGCTCTCTACTAAAAATACAAAAATTAGCCAGGTGTGGTGGCAGGCACCTATAATCCCAGCTACTGGGGAGGCTGAGGCACAAGAATCACTTGAATCTGGGAGGCGGAGGTTGCAGTGAGCTGAGATCACACTACTGCACTCCAGACTGGGTGACAGAGCAAGACTCCATCTCAAAAAATATTAACAAAATCGTATCTACAAAGATCCTTTTTCAAGATAACATCACTTTCTCAGGTATCAGGGGTCAGCAGCTGAATGTGTTTTGGGGGCTGGCTGCCATCCAGCACAGTATAGATGACAGTGATTCTAATAGTAAACCTAAGTCCTTGTGTTTGTGCAGAGGGGTGAGAGGGCAAGAGTCAGAAGTGGCTGCGTTGCCATCTCTGACTCGGATACCTCTGTGAGGCCTTCCTGTGGAGCGAGACTTTCTGGAACGAGCCTCCATCTCCTCTGGGGACAGCGGGGGAGCTTTTGTTTGACGGTTTGTGTGACAGGCTGTCAGGGAGCTACTTTGCATCTGTCACTTGGCCCCTCACGGTTACCAGGCCAGGGTGGAGACCGCCGTCGGAGCACCACTGGGCAGCAGTCATGAACTCTGAGAGGTGCATCCTTCCCCAAACCAGGCCCTGCAAAGCCTGCGTTTCTTCCATCTGCAACAGGGAGGCCGAAGCCGGCCTGACCGTAGGGCCGCTGGGGAGTCCATGGAAGCTGCCCCTGCCCGCAAGACCAGGAGGCAGATGCTGAGTCTCCCGTCACAGAAAGAAGAGAGGCCACAGCAAGTGCAATCATGGTTTATTTCTGATGTGGCTGAGTCTAGGGGCAGGGCGGGTGGTGGGTGTGGGGCGTGTGGGTGGCAGCTAGAACTCCACCTTGCAGGCGGGGAAGGCGTCGTCCTGCATGGACACCATGCTGTTACTACCCAGGACTGTGATGCCTAGCGCCTGGTGCCGCGCGTGCGTCTCCGCATACCACGTGTGCATGGCCGCCGAGTCGAAGGTGGGGATCAGGGTCACCTGTAGGTGGGGGCGGGGAGACAGAGGGTGGAACACCAGTGAGAGGGGTACCCCCTGCCCTGATGGCCTGGGGCCCAAGTCGCCTTCCTTTCCTGGCATTCGAGGCCTTTCCAGGCCTTTTCCAGATCTTGTTTGCTCCAACGGGTGGTCGGCCTGTCTGTGAGGACCCCGCTCCTCCCAACCAGCACCCAAAGACCCTTTTCAGCACACAGGAGACAAGCCCCTCCACTGCAAGGCCTCCCTTGGCCCGAGCTCCCTCTCCACTCACTTGGGTCTCCAACCTCTTTCCTACCTCTGGGCCTTTGCCCGGGCTGTGCACCCTACAAGGACGCTCTTTGGAAGCCAGACTAGCAGCTCCGTGAGGGCAGGGGCCTCGGTGTGAGATGGTTCTCCTTCTGCCCACACGTGCCTCGCCCATGCAATGCTTGTTTTCGATCGCTCGGCTTCATGCAGTCATGGGGGTGGGTTCTCAGCCGCACAGACACCACACGGCCCACCTATTCCACCCCGGCTAAGTCTCACAAGGAAACAATGGCTAAGTGACAAGGTGTCTGGGGAAGGGACAGACCCACGAGGCTTCACGAGGCCCTGCATCTCCCCCAGGCTCCGACACAGCCGATGAGGACGGTAGTGTGACAGAATCAGAGTCTGAAGGGGTCCCTAAAGGCTGAGCGTGTAAGACTCCCAAGTTTGCCCCCATCCCTGTGTGGCCTGGGGGATGCAGCTTAGTCTCTGAGAGTCGAGGGTGTTTTTCCCCACCTGTGCTGACTACGCTCACTAACGCCAGAGTCCTCAGGGTGACACGCACCTGCAGGTCACGGTCCCACTGCTGTTTGCTGGCCAGCAGCGCGTCCAGGACGGCCCGCATGCCCTCCTCCTTGCGCTGGTCCTGGCCACTGATGACGTAGCAGAGCGCGCGCACGCGCTGGAAGAACTCCTCGTCCACCAGGTGGGCGCTGCTTCCGCTGGGCAGATAGGCCAGGTCCAGGTAGACCGGGGACTTGGCAGGGGTGGCTGATGCCCCGGGCCGGCTGCTGGCTGACCCTGCAGATGGGGAGATGAGGAGTCAGGGATGAGCTCTGGGCTGGGGAGGCACTGAGGCTCCCAGTTCCACCTGCACCGCTCAGAACAGCTCCCTCAGCAGGAGGCCTGATGGCAGAATTTCCTGGGGAGCCCTGGTGCTCTCATGACTCCAGTGAATCTTACTTTAAGAAATGGGGTCTCACTATGCTGCCTAGGCTCATCTCAAACTCCTGGGCTCAAGTGATCCTCCTACCTCAGCCTTTCAAGTAGCTGGGACTACAGGTGCCGGTCACCATGTCTTGGCTTCAGTGACTTTACTCACTCTGCAAACACCACTGGGCACCCCTCTGTGACAAGGGCCAGACTCATCCCCAGCCAGTCCCTGGACATAGACATCCCCAGGGTCGGGGGTGGGTGGCAATCAGGGAATGCTCCCTGGAAGAGGGTTTGAGTCTGAGCCCTGAAAGCAGCCAGTGCCTGGACCACTCTGCTACTTCTGCGGCATCTGTCTGGTTCACTTGCTCAAGGAGTGTTTATCAGGACCTCCTGGGCACCAGGCCCTGAAACATGGCTGTGAGCAAGACAGAATCCCTGCCCCAAGGGTGATGGGGAGCCAGAGTGGGTGGAGAGGGCCTTGGAGGTGGGCCCAGGAGCAGCATGGGGGTGCTGCATGGGATGAGACAGCAGCTCTGGGGGCCTGGTCCAACCCTGACCTTAGGGCCAAAGGGGACTGAAAGGAAGCAGCTGGGTCTCGGGCACAAGAAGCCTACCTGACCCTCCATCTTACAATCACAGCTGCTGCCCAGCTCAGGGTACTCAGGTTTGTACGCCAACAAATACATACCCTCAAATGAAATGGACACATTCCTAGAAACACAAAGACCACCAAGACACAATAACAAAGAAAAAGAAAATCAGCATACATCTGTGGCTAGCAAGGAGAACGGATTTACAACCTCCCAAGGAAGAAGAGCCCTGGGGAACTCCATCAAACATTTAAACACCTAACATCGGCCTTTCTCAAACTTTTCAAAGAACTGAAGAGGCAGGAACACTTTCTAACTCATTTTATGAGGCCAGAATTGTCTTGATAGCAAAGCCAGACACAGATAGTTAATTCTACAAGAAAATGGCAGTTCAACAGCCTTTATGAACAATAACGTAAAAAAATCAGCAAAGTATTAACAAACCTAATTCAGTAGCATATTAAAAGAATTACATACCCTAAGTCAGACTTATTCCTGGAATGCAAGGATGGTTCAACATATGAAACAAAAAATCAGTGTTATTATTAACACATCACGGTAACAGACTAAAGGGTGGAAAGAACCACCTGATCATCTCAACTGATGGAGAAACAACACTGCAACACTTAACAAAATACCCTTTGCATGATAAAAACACTCAACAAAGTAGGAAGGGAAGAACATTATCAACATAACAAAGGCACATACGAAAACCCGCAGTAAACATACTCAATGGTGAAAGACTAAAAGCTTTTCCTCTAAGATTAGGAAGAAACAAGACATGGATGTCTACCTTTTTTTTTTTTGAGCAGTCTTGCTCTGTTGCCTGGCTGGAGTGCAGTGGCACGATCTCAGCTCACTGCAACCTTCCCCTCCAGGGTTCAAGTGATTCTCCTGCCTCAGCCTCCTGAGTAGCTGGGACTACAGGTGTGTGCCACAAGCTCAGCTAATTTCTTTCTTTTTTTTTTTGTATTTTTAGTAGAGACGGGGTTTCACTATGTTGGCCAGGATGGTCTCAATCTCTTGACCTCGAGATCCACCTGCCTCGGCCTCCCAAAGTGCTGGGATTACAGACGTGAGCCAACGCGCCCGGCTGGATGCCTACTTTCATCACTTCTATTCAACATAGTAGTAAAAGTTACAGTAACAGTAATTAGACAAGGAAAAGAAATGAAAGGCATCCAAACTGGAAAAGTAGTAGTAAAATTCTCTGTTCTTAGATGACGTTACCTCATAGGTGGAAAACCCTATAGATTCTGTCACAATAGATAGAGCGAGGGGGGTGGGAAAAAAAAATATATATATATATGCTGTTAAAATTAATAAACGGACTGGGTGTGGTGGCTCACACCTGTAATCTTGGCATTTGGGAGGTTGAGGTGGGTGGGATCACTTGAGGTCAGGAGTTCAAGACCAGTTTAGCCAACATGACAAAACCCCGTTTCTACTAAAAATACAAAACTTAGCTGGGCATGGTGGCACATGCTAGACCAATGGAATAGAATAGAGAGGCCCAGAAATAAATCCTCACATGTATGGTTAAATGATTTTCAACAAGGGTTTCAAACTATTCACTGGGGAAAGGGCAGTTTTTTCAACAAATGGTGCTGGGAGAGCTGGGCCTCCACATGCAAGAGAACGACAGTGGATCCTTCCACCACATACAAATGTTACCTCCAAATAGATCAGGGGCCTAAATGTGAAAGGGAAAACTACAAAACTCCTAGAAGAAAACATAGGGTAGAAGCTTCTCAGTGCTGGATTTGACCAGGTGCAGTGGCTCACACCTGTAATCCCAGCACTTTGGGAGGCTGAGGTGAGCAGATTGCTTGAGGTCAGGAGTTCGAAACCAGCCTGGTCAACATGGTGAAACCCCACTTCTACTAAAAATACAAAAAAATCAGCCAGGTGTGGTGGTGGGTGCCTGTAATGGCAGCTACTCAGGAAGGTTGGAGAATTGCTTGAACCCGGGGGCGGAGGTTGCAGTGAGCCAAGATCATACCCCGACACTCCAGCCTGGGCAACAGAGTGAGACTCCATCTTAAAACAAAACAAAAAAAATGGGATATGGCAATCATTATTGGGTCTGACATCAAAAGTGCAGACAACAAGAGAAAAAAATAGACAAAATGGACTTAGTATTTAAAACTTTTGTGCATCAAAGGGCATTATCAACAGAAGAAAAAGGCAACTCACAGAATGGGAGGAAGTATTTGCAAGCCATGTTATCTGCTAAAGGGTTAACGTCCAGAATGATTTACAAAACTCAACAACAGAAAACAACCCAATTTAAAAATGGGCAAAGGGGGCTCATGCCTGTAATCCCAGCACTTTGGGAGGCCAAGGCGAGAGGATCGCTTGAGGCTGAGAGTTCAAGATCAGCCTGGGCAACACAGTGAGACTCCATCTCTACAAAAACATTTAAAAATTAGCCAGGCATGATGGCATGCACCTGTAGTCCCAGCCACTTGGGAGGCCGAGGTGGGAGGATTGCTTGAACCCAGGAAGTCGAGGCTACAGTGAGCAGTTTGCACCACACTCCAGCATGAGTGACAGAGCAAGACCCTATCTCTAAAAAATAAAATTTAAAATTGAGCAAAACTCAAATATTTCTCCAAAGAAAATGAATGTCCAACAAGCATGTAAAAAGATTCTCAACATCACTAATCATTAGGAAAATGGAAATGGAAACTACAAAGCGACCCCACCTCACGCCCTTTAGATTGGCTAGTGGCAAGCAGCTGCTGTGGAAAAGAGTCTGACAGTTCGTCCAAAATTAAACATCGAGCCGGGGCGTGGCACCTCATGCCTATAATCCCAGCACTCTGGGAGGCTGCGGCCGAAGGATCGCTTGAACTCAGGAGTTCCACACCAGCCCGAGCCACACAGAGACCCCAGTGCTAGGCAAAATTTTAAAATCAGCTGGGCGTGATGGTGTGTGTCTGTGGTCCCAGCTGTTCAGGAGGTGGGAGGGTTGCTTGGTTCCAGCTGTTTGGGAGGTTGAGGCTGCAGTGAGCCCTGTTTGCGCCACTGCACTCCAGCCTGGATGACAGATTGAGACCCTATCTCAGAAAAAAAAAAACACAAGAAAAAAAAGCACAGCAGCAGGCCAGAGACCCTCCCCTCGGCAAGGTCTGCTTAAAATGTGAGCCTTTGGCTGGTGTCTGGAAATCTGGATCTCAGGAGGAGGGTTCCCACCATCCCATCTGAGAGGGGCTCCCTGTGCCTGGACTGGACCACACATCTGATCTCCCCTTTTTTGGCGAGAGGGGGGCGGGTCTAGAATCTCTGTGCCAGACAGAGGATGCCTATGTAACTGGCCCAATAAGAACCTGGGCATGCTGAGTCTCTAATCAGCTTCCATGAGACACACTGTTACGACTTGCTACTGGAGAAATGGAGCCTGTGGTATGCAGCCCCACTGGGAGAGGATTCTGGAAGCTTCTGCCTTGTTTCCTGTGGACTTCACCCTACATGCCTTTTCTCTCTGCTGATCCTGCTCTGCTAGGAGTACAACCGTAGGCTAGGTCCTCCTAACCAATCAATTACATAAAATGCACTATTTAAAGTTTCAACTCTTTCATTTTACTTACTGTGGCTTCTGGAAACCCACAACGAGCATACATACTCACCTAGCTGCCATCCAGGGTGCTGTCCAGGCCCCTCAGAACGGCAAGAGGTTCAACACTGAGGTCAGTTTGCATTTCACAGGAGAAACTGAGCCCCAGAGTGTGGGCACTGCTGAGGTCACACAGCAATTAAGAACAGGAGGACCTGGCTGGGTGCAGTGGCTCACACCTGTAATCCCAACACTTTGGGAGGCCGAGGTGGGTGGATCACCTGAGATCAGGAGTTCGAGACCTGCCTGGCCAACATGGTGAAACTGTGTCTACTAAAAGTGCAAAAATTAGCTGGGCATGGTGGTGGGCACCTGTAATCTCAGCTACTTGGGAGGCTGAGGAAGGAGAATCTCTTGAACCCGGGAGGTGGAGGTTGCGGTGAGCCAAGATCGCACCATTGCACTCAAGCCTGGGCAACAAGAGCGAAACTCTGTCTCAAAAAAAAACAAAAAACAAAAACAGGAGGACTGGCAGGGCACGGTGGCTCACGATGGGAATCCCAGCACTTTGGGAGAGTGAGGTGGGCAGATAGTTTGAGGCCAGCAGTTTGAAATCAGCCTGGGCAACACAGTGAGACCCTATCTCTACCAAAAACGTGAAAATTAGGCAGGCGTGGTAGCCGTGCCTATTGTCCCAGCTACTGGAGAGGCTGAGGTGGGAGGGTGTCTGGAGCCACAGAGGTTGGGGCTGCAGTGAGCTGTGATTGCACCACTGCATTCCAGCCCGGGAGACAGTCAGACCATCTCTTCTAAAAAGCAACAAGTAAGAACAGGAGGATGAGCTACGCCCTCTCCGGCCTGAGCAGCCGCCAACCCAGCCTAGGGCCCCGGCTCCAATACTCACCCAGTGGGCCTCGAGTGGCAGTCCTGGGGGCTGAGGACTTTCTGGACAGGGGTGCTCGGCCTCCCTTCTCACTGGGCTCACTCCGGGCACTGAGTGGCCTGCTGGCCCGGTCCCCACCAGCAAGGCCCTTGGTTTTGGCAGCAGCCACTGGAGTGGCTTTGGGGGTGGCAGCACGTGAGGTGGGGCGCGTCAGCAGCTTCCGGGTGCGGCCCACGTTCTCCGTCTGCCTCGCTGTCTTGGGGGGCAGCATCTCTGGGTCCACCATGCAGATACTGGATGGGTCAGGCAGTGGTGGGGGGACCTTGAGGGGGTCAGGCAAAGGGTCATGGCGAGGGACTCCAAAGGCCTCTGTGTCCTCATCCGAGTCTGCGGCACCGGGAGCCAGGGGCACAGGGTCTGAGTCAGACAGCGTGGGCAGGGACTCGCTGACTGACGTGGGTGGCGTCTCCTCAACCCCCAGCCCACCTGCCCGCTCCTGTGACCGGGCGCTGCTGTCGTTGGAGCTGCCAGGGGACGCAGGGGCTGGCGCCATGGGCACCGCCTTTCGATGCTCAAACTCACAGGGTGACACTAGGCACAGGTCCACATCGTGTGGGGAGGCCGAGCGCCGAGCCCTGGGGCCACGCAGCGGGAGGCTCAGCCCAGCCTCACTGGTGGGGGCGGATGGCGGCAGCACCTGCTCAAAGGACACAGACAGGGACTCGTCTACTTCTGTGGAGTGCGGGGAGCCCACCTCTGCGGGCAGTGAGGGCGTGGTCACCGTGGGCGTGGTCACTGTGGGGGAGGCATCAGGCCCAGCCTCCCCACCCCGCAGTGGGCTCAGCGACAGCCGCCCGCTGCCCTCCGCGGGGCTCCGGCGAGACTCAGGGGAGGGTGTGCGTGGCCTCGGGATCGAGCTGGCAGCCAGTGGCAGCTCGAGCGCCTTCTCCTCCCCAGCTGGAGGAGGGTTGGGCCCCAGCTCCAGGCTGGGCGTGGCCACCAGCTGGGAGGCGGGCGAGCCACCTGCCACATTTGGGGGGCTGGCCTCTCCACATCGGAAGCCAGGTGGGCTACGAGGTCCATTTGCCACAGGCGGGAAGCCAGAGTGTGATGTGCTCGGCGCTGTGCTGGGTGCTTTGCGGGGCTTGAGTGCTGCCTGGGCACCAGTCTTCTTGAGGCTGGGCACAGAAGAGGTTGCACGGCGCACCTCCCGAGGCTGGGGCCGGGGCACACTCGGCTTGGGGTCCTTCTTCACCTCCCGGGAGGTCTTGGCTTCCTTCTCAGTCTTGCGCAGGGCTTCAGCCCGTGCTGGCTCCTTCCGGGCCACCCCAGGGCGCTCTAGGACAGGTCTAGGGTGGGCGGCGGGCATACCCTCTCTCTTCGAGCTGTCTCGGGAGCCCACGCTCTCTTTGCTCTCAGCTCGCCGCAGCCCCTCCAGGTCCTGGGGTGTCACCACAGGCTCTCGCAGGAACTTCAAGTGCTGCAGGCGGAGGAGGCCATCCAGGAGGCAGGCGGGCGGGGTGCAGCCGGGAAACAGCACGCGCACCACCTTCTCACCGGGGCCCGCAGGGTGCCACACCAGCAGGGCGCACACGGAGGCCAGCGTGCGCTCGGCGCCAGTGGAGGGCGGGTGCAGCACGTACATGTCCAGCCGGCCCACGCCCATCTTCTCAAAGAGCACGGTTGGCTTGGCCGGCACGGGGCCGCGGCTGAGGGGCAGGGGCGTAATGCCCAGCTGTGCCAGGAGGCTCAGTGCCAGCTCCGCCTCGTCCTCGCCGCGCGCCAACCGCGATGCGGCCTCGCAGGCGTTGAAGAACACCACCCCCAGGTTGGGGGAGATGAGCCTGCGCAGCCTGTCGTCCCAGGAGCCCCCACCAGCAGCCACCTCGGAGCGCTCGGCCAGTTTGCGCCGCAGCAGGCTGTTGAGGCCGGGGAGGCTGTCGGCGCCCGGGTGGGTCACGAGCACGGCATCCACGCGGTCCAGGTGCCGCACCAGCTTCCAAAAGCTGGACTTGGGGTTCGAGCCACCATTGACCAGCACGGTGAAGCCATTGACAGCAAAGAAGGCGGCATCCCCGAGGCCTCCAGGGAAGATGTAGCAGCAGGGCCGGCCCAGCCTGAGGAAACCCCCGGTGGTGGGGGGCTCCAGCAGCTCGAAGGGGGACGGCGGCTCCAGAGACTCTGCCACGTACTCCAGGAACTCACACAGGCCCTCAGAGTTGGGCAGGTGCGCCGGGGGGTTCAGCCGCAGCTGGAGCGCCCCCTGGAGGTCGGGTACAGCAGGTGCCAGCTGGGCCCAATCTCCGAAGGTTGGGCACGTGATGGTGAGTACTGGTGGCTGTGCAGGTGGGGGCATGGTGGCCAGGATGTCCCAGATCTGCATGGAGGGGAGTGTAAGAGGCCACCCAGAGCCAGGCAACACCCTGCCCAGTGGGAAAACTGGGCGAGGACACCCTCATCCTTCACCCCAGGCCTGCTCCTCAGGACCCTCCCACCAAAACCCAACCCTCCCCAGCCCCAGGAGGCTCTATGGTCTGGCCTCACCTTCTGCCTCTCCCTCCACTTCAAATGACTCCCTGCCCCATGGCCTTTAGCTCACCCTTCTCTCCTCCCAGAGCACAGCTCTCCCTCCAAGGAGACCCTCCATGCCCCACCTCTGTCTACTGAACCTTTTTTCTTTTCTTTTTTTTTTTTTTTTTTGAGACAGAGTCTCGCTCTGTTGCCCAGGCTGGAGTGCAATGGCACAATCTTGGTTCACCGCAACCTCCCCCTCCTGGGTTCAAGCAATTCTCCTGCCTCAGCCTCCTGAGTAGCTGAGATTACAGGCACCCGCCACCACACCTGTTTAACTTTTTCTATTTTTAGTAGAATAGGCTTTCACTATGTTGGCCAGGCTAGTCTTGAACTCCTGACCTTGTGAACCGCCTGCCTCGGTCTCCCAGAGTGCAGGGATTACAGGCCTGAGCCACGTGCCCGGCCTTGTCAGCACTTTTAAGTGCCCTACTACAATGTGAAAACATAGTTTGCTAGAGATTTTTGCCTGTGTGTCCTACACAGACTGGGGGTACCAGAAAGGACCCATTTGGCTCCATCCCACATCAGGCCACGGGGGCATCTGCTGACCTACAGACCCAGCTCACACCCTTTCATGGGCGATGACCCCCTGACAGCCAGGAGGCACATGTCACCACTGCCATCCTACAGAGGAGGCTGGGGACACACAGCCTGACGCAGACAAGCCAGGATTCAGAGCTGGGGAAAGGGGGATGACAAAGGGGTGGCTTACCTCTCTGTCCTTCAGGACCTGGAGGAAGTGGTGGGGCGAGAAGCCCCCTGTCTGTAGCAGCAGCTCCCCCGTCTCCTCCAGGCAGGGCCCAGCCAACACCAGCAGCTTGTGAGAAGCAGGGTCCAACAGAAGGTTCCGGAGCTGAGGGAGGGGGTAAGTACTAAACGCCCCGTTCTGTGCCGTGACGTATCCAGCAGTCCTCTTTGGGGTAGCCTCGAATTGATAACATAACCACCCCTCTCCTGTCCGCATCCCACGGCCAGCCCAGTGCTCACCTAGCTAAGAGGGCAGTCTCCAGGTCTCCTGCTGGGCCCCGCCCCCTAGCAAACTCCTATTCATCCTACAAAGCCCAGCTCTGGTGTCCCTCCTGAAAGCACTCCCTGCCCTTTCTGGGCTCTCTCAAGTCCACCTCTCCCTCCAGCCCAGCCCTGATGCCACAGGTCTAGGGGTATCTGTGTCTGGCTCTGTCTCCTAAAAACTGAGAGCCTCTTTCTGATATATAATTGGTGGAAGAGTAAGATAGCTACAAGCCAGTTAACATTAGTAACTCAATGCAGACAACTGCTGAGGCCTAGCCAGAGGGAACCCATGGGATGCAGTCTGCTCTGGCCTTCCCACCCCCAGCCCCATGCTGTCCTGGGCCCTGGGCTGTGAGTGCTTACCTTCCCCTCCCTCCCAAACTCCAGCCTTCTCTGCTCCCATCCCAGAGGAGGGAAGAAGCAAAGGCTGGAGCCACAGGGCAGGCTTCTGAGCGAGGAAGTGGGGTGTGGGTGTCTCGAGGAGCTGGGGCAGCATGAAGATGAGGGCACGAGACATGAAGGCAGAGACGGCACCAGTCCCAGCAGCCTGCCCCCTCCAGGATGCCCGCCATTCCCTACCTCATCACACAGGGACTTGTCTGATGGGTTCAGGAGGACCAGGGTCTCCAGGGTATCGCCACGGTGGTGCAAGCTCCGCTGGCCTGTGGGGCAATCAGGCCGTCCTGGAGTCAAATCCTGCCTCCCTGTGTGACCCTCAGGGAACACGAACGCCCCTGGGAACCCACCCAGGGATTATGTGGAGAGTAACAGGCGCATGGCAGAGCTGCAGGTCAGGACCAGGCGAGGCCAGCCTGAGAGGGGCAGTACCCAGAGCACCACGTGGCACAGGGCCTGGTTAGCAGCTGCCACCCCTGTGGGTAATCCCACAATCACATTCATTCGCTTTTCTTGAGACAGTCTCACTCTGTCGCTCAGGCTGGAGTACAACGTCATGGCCTCGGCTCACTGCAACCTCCGCCTCCCAGGTTCAAGTGATTCTCCTGCCTCAGCCTCCAAAGTAGCTGGGATTATAGGCGCATGCCACCACACCCCAATAATTTTTTAAATTTTTAGTAGAGACAGGGTTTCACCATGTTGGTCAGGCTGGGCTCGAACTCCTGATCTCAGGTGATCCTCCAGCTTTGGCCTCCCAAAGTGCTGTGATTATAGGCATGATGCACTGCGCCCTGCCACATCTAGTTTTTAGACATGGAGCCAGAGCTGGGGGAGGGCCAGTCGTACATCCAGAGCAAAGGCCCTAAGGCAGGGCTGAGCTAGGGGTGGGGCAGCATAAGGGGCGGGGCTGGAATGGGGCTGTTTCTGAACTCAGCTAGGGGTGGGGCAGCATGAGGGGCAAGGCTGGAGTGGGTTGTTTCTGGGATCCTGACCCTCCTTTGTCCCCAGGGCCGGGGTGTGTGTGTGTGTGTGTTTTGCTTTTGTTTTTGAGACAGAGTCTCCTTCTGTCACCCTCGCATGATCTCAGCTCACTGCAATCTCCGTCTCTTGTGTTCAAGCGGCTCTCCCACCTCAGCCTCCCAAGTAGCTAGGACTACAGGCATGTACCACCACACCCAGCTAATTTTTGTATTTTTAGTAGAGACAGGGTTGCATCATATTGCCCAGGCTGGTCTTGAACTCCCAACCTCATGATCCACCTGCTTGGCCTCCCAAAGTGCTGGGATTACAGGCGTGAGCCACCACGCCCAGCCCCAAATGTGTTTTAAACATCAGCACTGTGAGAAAGGGGTGGCAAGTAGCCAGAGCCAGAGGAGGGCCAGTGAGGGCCAACCTGGACCAGGGTACAGCAAAAGCAAAGGCCCTGAGGCCCAGGACCGGGCTGTGAGCATGGCTGAGTCTTGAGAAGCAGACTGTCCCGTGCAGTCAGCTCTTATCATGTTTAGCTTTATTTTTTTTTTTTGAGACAGGATTTTGCTCTGTTGCCCAGACTGAAGTGCAGTGGCGCAGTCCTAGCTCACTGCAGCCTCTAGCTCCTGGGTTCAAGAGATCCTCCCTCCTCAGCCTCCTGAGTAGCTGGGACTACAGATGTGCACCACCAGGCCCGGCTCATTTTTATATTTTCAATAGAAACAGGGTTACACCATGTTGCCCCAGCTGGTTTTGAACTCCTGACCTCAAACGATCCTCCCACCTTTACCTCCCAAAGGGATGAGATTACAGGCGAGAGCCACCCCACCCAGACTTGGCATGCTTTTTGTCGCACGCAGATATTGCCCCATTCAGGTGGGGAAGGCATAGGAAGGGGAAGTGGCCACAAAGGTTGCACACAGCAGACAGGATTTCTAGCCCCACTTTCTGCCCCATGAAGAGTCAGGAAGCCCCGAGGACCCACTGGGACAATGAGACGACGGACATTTCCTTCCTCTCCAGCAGCAGCCGAGAGGTGACTTGAGACCAGCAGGAGCGCAGGGCTGTTCAGACAACACCCAAGCCCTGTGCCCCCATCCTGGGTCACCCCAGAGGGGAGCCTCGTGCTGAGGTGGGCCCTCCTTGATCTCACTCCTTTTCAGTTCCCTACCTACTGAGCGCCTACTGTATACCCAGCCCTGTGGCTGTAAACCAAATTCAGTCCCTGCCTCCAAGGGGCCCACACTCCATCTCCCAGGGCCTGCTCAGTGCCCCCTCCACCTTCCAGATGTTTTTTTTTTTTCTTTTTTGAGACAGATTCCCTCCCACTCTGTCACTCAGGCTGGAGTGCAGTGTTGAGATCTCAGCTCACTGCAACCTCTGCCTCCTACCAGGTTCAAGTGATCCTCCCACCTCAGCCTCCTGAATAGCTGGGATTACAGGTACCTGCTACCATGGCAGTTAATTTTTGTATTTCTAGGAGAGACAAGGCTCCTCCATATTGGCCAGGCTGGTCTTGAACTCCTGACCTCAAGTAATCGGCCAGCCTCGGCCTCCCAAAGTGCTGGGATCATAAGCGTGAGCCACGGACTCGGTCTCTTCTCATGTTCTGTCCACTGCTGGGTCTTGGATGGGGCACTTCCCTTCCACTGGACACACCAGTCATAGCAGTTTCTCATCGAAAAACCCCCTCCTCAGGGACCTCCCCACCTCTTCCCCCTTCCATGCCACAGTTTCCTCATCTGTAAGTCAGGGATGAAAACACCAGTTCCTGCACTGTGGGTTACTGAGGACTGAGGGGATTATCCCTGGGTCAGGGCATGCATTTGAAAGGCCTCAGTTATATTATTAGTGTTGTTATTTACAGCTATACCCCACCCCCCATGCCTGGCAGACAGCTGGCACTTGTCCAGGGAATAAGAGATAGGGGAGCAGCCAGGGGCACCCCAGCCTCACCTTTCACGATGCTGGAGAAGGTGGCAGAGTGTCGGGACACAAAGACCTTGAGCTGTTCATCAAGGTTGCAGATGCCTGGATCCACATCCCAAGACCGGATGCCTGGTGGGAGGGAGGCATCGAGGCAGGAGTTCAGCCAGGCTTCCCAGCCCCCAGAATATTTCAATAACTAGCACCCTGTGGGTAGGGAGCGCCCCAGCCTCCTCCCTTCACTCACAGCTTGGAGACTCAGAAGTACCCAACACCTTCAGGTCTCGATGCCGCTGAGCCAGGAGACCCAGAGCACACCTCATCATTTTACAGATAAGACTCAGCAACCAAGCCTCCACCTCCTCCATCTCCACCTCCTTGCTGCTCCTATGCCCTGCCAGGCCCGTTTCCACTCACCGCCTTTGCAACAGCTGTTCCTTCTGCCTGGAAGCCCATCCCCCTGCCACCCCCACCTGTTCCTACTGGCCCAGGGGCCCTTCCCCCTTATCACCTTCAGGTGCTAAGACTGGCTGTCCCCTCAGCCCCTTGCAGACTTCTGATCCCTCCTGACACCATGTGAGCTGGAAGCTTGTTCTATCTCCTCATTTGCTTTGGATCCATCCCCCCCACCAAACCTGTGCTGGCAGGGCTGAATCTGTCTATCATCCCAGCCATGTCCCTGTGCCCACTGCCTGGCGCATAGCAGGTGCTCACTAAACACTCCCCAAGCACATGAAGCGAGGTGCGCGTTCCTGTCACATTTTACAATCAATGAAACACGCAGGTCCAGATTCTCCAAGGAATGGGGGATGAACACCCATCTCCACCCACGGGCGCATCATGCCCGCAAGTCCCACTGTGCCAGTCCCAGTGTGCCAAGTGGCTGCAGGTGAACCGGGCAGGTGCACCTATGACTCACCTCCCTAAGTGCTAAATCCCCCGGGCAAGCCGCACCCACCCACACCCCAATTAGCAGCTCCTTGTGCTGCAACAGAAAGCGGGCCCCGGGGCTCCAGGCCAGCCTCCCCCAAATCTGCTTCTCCCTTCGTTAGCTCTCTAAGCTGCTAAAACCTAAGACCCAAAGCGTCCCCAAGCCCGCCCCCTGGGCGGGCCAGCCAGGCGGGAAGCGGAGCAATGGCCCAACTGCGCGGGTCCCCACGCCTAGGCCCGTGACCCGTGACCCCTCCCCGATTTTCACCCGGAGTTGGGGCGGGGCAGCCCTGCCCAGCCCAGGCCCCGATGCCACTTCCCCCGCGGGTACCCACAGGCACCCCGCCTTTGCCTGCGTCACGTGCCTAACGGTGAAGGGGACCCAGCCCCGGGCCCGCGATCCCCGCCCCAGAGCCTGGGCCCCGCCGCCGCAGCCGCCGCCCACCACCCGGCCCCGGGGCCAGGCGCGAAGCGTGCCCGCCTCCCGGGCTGTCGCGCGCCCCCGGGCCAGCCCGACCTCGTTCGAGCTCCTCTAAGACGTAGGTGAGGAGCCCCGGGCACCCGAACTCGCTGCCCACCACGAGGAGCAGCGAACTCGGGGCCGCGGCATCCCCGAGCCCAGGCACAGCCGCCATCTTCGCACCGCCCCGACGTTCTCAGCGCCCGCCCCGCTGGCCCCGCCTCTTAAAGGGGCTGCACCGGAAGAACTGAAGACCCCGCCCGGAACCACCCCAACCCCCGCCCCTTTTTGTCGACCACCTACTGGCCCTTTCAGGTCATGGAGAGCAGGGAATGCGGGTGCTAAAGGGGTTGGCGGACTCCTGGGTGTCTGTTTGGGAGCTGCTTCTCCCAAGGACCATTCATTCTTTTTTTTTCATTGAACAAGCTTTGATCGCCTGTCTGTTGCATGTAGGTCAGAATTCCTGCCCTCCACGAACTCACATCACTTAACAGTAGGCCCAGTCAGAACCTGGCGCCCCTGGATGCTCCCAGCTCCCTAGGTCAGGGCTTGAACAGAGAAGAGAAATCTATTTATAGGTAGAGCTTTGAGCGATGTGTAGGAGTTTGCCTTACATGAGTGGTGGGGCAAGAGCACGTGAGGCAGAGGTTACAGCACCTGGAAAGTTTTCGAGGCACGAGAGTACATGTGTGTTTGGGATACAACAGGGGGAACCCCGGGCCTGCATGGAACAGGGCAACACTTATTCTGCACCACCTGCGTGCCAGGCATTTTACTGTATTAGCTCATTGCATACAAGCACAAAACAATGAGGTAGGAACAGTTACTGTGGTCACTTTCAGAGGAAAGGAGAGGAAACAGATTTGGAGGAAGTCACCAGGTTTGTAAGTGGTAGAGCCGGTTTGAACCCAAGTAGGTCTGACTCCAGATCCAGCCTGTGCGAGGGACTGCCTGCGTTACGCACCTGGGTACCTCTCTCTCCCCAGATGATCCCCTTTAGCCATTTTATTTTATTTTATTGAAATGGAGTCTCATTCTGCCACCCAGGCTGGAGAGCAACGGCGTGATCTCAGCTCACTGCAACCTCTGCCTCACAGGTTCAAGCGATTCCCCTACCTCAGCCTCCTGAGTAGCTGTGATTACAGGCACCTGCCACCATGCCCGGCTAATTTTGGTATTTTAGTGGAGACACAGTTTCACCATGTTGGCCTGGCTGCTCTTGAATTCCTGACCTCAAGTGATCCTCCTGCCTCGGCCTCCCAAAGTCCTGGGATTACAGGCACGAGCCACCGTGCCTGACCCCCTTTAGTCCTTTGACCTGACAAATCACCTTGCTTGGAACTTTAGGACAGTAGCCCACGCCCAGGAAAGATTGTACCGCCTTCCTCAGGAGTGAGCTCCCCGTCTCTGAGAGTATGCGAAGCAAAGCAGGACAGAAATGGGAAAGATCTGGGAAGGAGACTCAGCCTCCCGCTGCTGTTTATTATCTGGCTTGTTCAGCCCAACTTCCTCCCTGGCTGGTGTGTAACAGCGGCTGGCCACGTGCCGTCTACCATTCTTGCACTCCACTTCCTCTCTCTCTTTTTGCTTCTGGCATCCTTCCTCTATCCTTGTCCCTCCCCCTTGGCTCCCTTCCCTGTGTCCCTGTGATTGCTTATGTTATTGCTGTGAGCAGTAATGGCGGTGGGAGTATCTCTGTTGGGTACTATCTCCCCTAAAAGGCTGGAACATTTTGGAAGCCTGAGGCCTCTCTGGGGCCCTGGCCTTGTGCAACACAAGGCTTGGGCATCCGGGAAGGGATATGATAAAGTCTTTTGGAATGGGCTGAAAGGCCTATTTGTCCACCATTCACTCATTCATTCATTCACTTCTTCCTTGTATATTTATGGATGGGTCCAGGGTTTGAACCCAAGAGCTTCTGAATGGAACTCTATCCACTTCCACTTTCTTCTGCCTATGCTGTGAGTTATAATTGTTGGTACTTTTTTTTTTTTTTGATATGGAATCTCATTCTGTCACGTAGGCTGGAGTGCAGTGGCGTGACCTCAGCTCACTGTAAGTTCCACTTCCCGGGTTCAAGGGATTCTCCTGCCTCAGCCTCCTGAGTATCTGGGATTACAGGCACCCACCACCTTGCCCTGCTAAGTTTTGTATTTTAAGTAGAGACATGAAGTCTCACCATGTTGGCCAGGCTGGTCTCGAACTCCTGACCTCAAGTGATCTGCCCCACTTGGCCTCCAAACTGCTGGGATTACAAGTATGGGCCACTGCACCAGCCTGTGGCTATTCATTCTAGTAATAGTTGGTCTTAAAGGGCCTGAGGTGCGAAGAAATGTCTCTACTGGGGGATCTGATTTTGGGGTGAAAGTATCCCCTACTACATTTTTGGGGAATAAAGTCCTGAGTGTCGTGGCCGGGCGCCTGTAATCCCAGCACTTTGGGAAGCCAAGGTGGGTGGATCACGAGATCAGGAGATTGAGACCATCCTGGCTAACACGGTGAAACTCCGTCTTTTCTGAAAAAAAAAAAAAAAAAAAAAAAAAAAATTAGCCAGGTGTGGTGGCGCGTGCCTGTAGTCCCAGCTACTCCAGAGGCTGAGGCAGGAGAATTGCTTGAACCAGGGAGGTGGAGGTGGCAGTGAGCTGAGACCGTGCCACTGCACTCCAGCCTGGGTGACAGAGTGAGACTTCGTCTCATTTAAAACATGTCCTGGGTGTCTGGAGCCATAAGGTTTTCTTGTCCCAAAGCAAAGCATCTCCCAGCCTTGAGGACTCTGGTGTGGGGCAAGTGGGGAGCGTTTCCCTAGCAATTGAGATGCCTCTGGGACCACTGCCCAAATCCCAGGCATGGGACTGAGGTGTTTGATCTCTGGCCCAGCTCCATGACTGTTTCAAGGTCACCATCCCCAGAGGGGTCAGATGATGACATTCATGGGGGAAATGGAACCCTGGGCTCTCAGGATTCTGGGATGTTCTCATCTGCTTCTCCTGGCAATTATTTTCTCATTTTAACATTTTTTGTTGAGATTTACTATAGACATGGGCTGAGGGTAGTGGCTCACAACTGTAATCCCAATATTTTTTGGAGGTGAGGCAGGTGGATCACTTGAGGTCAGGAGGTTGACACCAGCCTGGCCAACCTAGTGAAACTCTATCTCTACTAAAAATACAAAAATTAGCCAGGTGTGGCAGTGGGCACCTGTAATTTCAGCCAGTCGGGAGGCTTAGGTGGGAGGATCACTTGAGCCTGGAATGTGGAGATTGCAATGAACTGAGATCACGTCACTGCACTCCAGCCCAGCCTGGGTGACAGAATGGACACACTCTCTCTCTCTCTCTGTTTCTCTCTCTCTCTCTCTCTCAGAGAAAGATCATGGCATTATCTCAGCTCACTGCTCTCTTAGAAAGAGAGAAGTGGGGCGCATATATATATATACACACACACATACACACACATATGTAGAGAGGGAGAGAGAACATAGATAGATAGATAGATAGATAGATAGATAGATAGATAGATAGATAGATAGATACTCACCTCAGCCTCCCAAAGTGCTGGGATTACAGGCATGAGACACCTCACCCTGCTGAATACCCATTTTCAATTCTCATGGTTTGTACTTGGAAGTGGAATTGCTTGACATGGTCACATTCATGAATGTCAGGAGCTTAATGCAATGACAATCCTTTAGCCAGAATCTAGTACATCCCCGGCCCTCAGGTGGGTTCTGCCCTGACCCCTCTCCATCACTGGAGGGGTGTTTCTTGGGTTGTGATCCTCCTGCCTCAGCCTCCCGAGTAGCTGAGATTGCAGGCACCTGCTACCTCGCCTAGCAAATTTTTGTATTTTTAGTAGAGACAGGATTTCTCCATGTTGGCCAGCCTGGTCTCGAACTCCCAACCTCAGGTGATCCACCTGCCTCAGCCTCCCAAAGTGCTGGGATTACAGGCATGAGCCGCCGCACCCAGCCTCTTTTTTTTTTTTTTTTAAAGACATGGTCTCACTCCATCATCCAGGCTGGAATGCAGTGGCCCAATCTTAGCTCACTACAACCTCTGCCTCCAGGGCTCAAGTGATCCTCCCACCTGAGCCTCCTGACTAGCTGGAACTACAGGTGCAAGCCACCACTGCTGGTTAATTTTTATATTTTTTGTAGAGATGGCATTTTGCCATATTGCCCAGGCTTGTCTCAAACTCCTGAACTCATGTGATCCACCTGCCTCAGCCTCCCAAAGTGCTGGGATTACAGGCATAAATCACTGCACCTGGCCTCCATTTTGACCATTTTACAGTGTACAAATCAGTGACATTGAGTGCATTCACAACATTCACGATGTCGTGCCATTCTCACTAATATCTAGTTCCAGAATACTTCCATCCTCTCAAAAAAAACTCGGCCCTAGGCCAGGCGTGGTAGTTCATGCCTGTAATCCTAGCACTGTGGGAGGCAGAGGCAGGAGGATCTCTTGAGCTCAGGAGTTCGAGATCAGGCTGGACAACATAAGGAAACCCTATCTCTATTCAGATTTTTTTTTTTTTTGAGATGGAGTCTTGCTTTGTCATCCAGGCTGGAGTGCAGTGGCATGATCTCGGCTCACTGCAACCTCTGCCTCCTGGGTTCAAGTGATTCTTCTGCTTCAGCCTCCTGAGTGGCTGGGATTACAGGCATGCACCACCCCGCCCGGCGAATTTTTGTGTTTTTAGTAGAGGGGTTTCACCATGTTGGGCAGGCTGGTCTCAAACTCCTAATCTCAGGTGATCTTTCCGCCTCAGCCTCCCAAAGTGCTGGGATTACAGGTACGAACCACCATGCCCAGCCTAGAATTTTTTAAGTGAAAATTTTTTAAAAAGGAAAGAAAAGTAACATTGTC